GCAAAAAAGATCTGATCCAGCATTGAAGTCACAAGTGTGTCAAGAACAAGAAGACAACTCCACTAAGGATCTGTTCCACAATGAGTCTATATGTGTCCGTAGTGAGTTGTAATCTTGTTATTTGTTCTTCATTGTAACTCCTATCTTGCTTTCTTAGAAGCTTTGTTTTAGGAAACTCAAAATCATAAACCTTCTGAGTTTGTGTTGTGACTAGAGTTAGTCATAATTTAAAAGTCTTTGTAACTAGTGAGTGACAAAGTGGCTTGTGGTAAGTATATCACAAGTTAGTTAAGTTGAAGTCTTTGTAACTAGTGAGTGACAAAGTGGCTTGTGCTAAGTGTTTCACAAGTTAGTTGAGTTGAAGTCTTTGTAATAGAGTCATTACAAAGTGGCTTGTAATAGTGTGTTTACAAGTTAGTGAAGTTGAAAGGCTACAGGGGTAGGTTATGGTTTTTGTCCCCTTGAGTTGGGATTTTTCCACGTATAAGTCCTGTGTCTCATTTACTTACTGTTTCATCAATATTCTCAGTGGAAACTCATAGAGGACCAGGTACTCTATAGTTTGGTGGACCTATATAAACTAACACCATCATATCAAATGACCGCTTAATGTAAATATCTATTGCCTTGGGATAAATACTTGATATGGATAAGATATTAGCCAACTAGAGGTTGTAGGTGTTATATCGAGGAAGAGGCAAACCCAAAAATAAAGAAGATAAAGAACACCAAATTTTAACGTGGAAAATCCTTCAAATCGAAGGTAAAAACTACATGATCACAAAGATCCAAAAAGTTCCACTATAACAATAAGAGGGATACAAAAGTTCTCCAAATTGGCTACACAACAAGTGCCAAACACGAAGCAACAATAGCAACAGATAAATCAATTGAAGAAAGAGGAGAATCCACAAAAATGAAGCTGCTGTTTGAGGCTCAAAATCAGATGCTATGGGCCTCCAAATCCGATCTCCACCGTTCAAATCGAAGACCAAGATGTTACAAACACTCAGTGAGAATACATTTTAATTTTTTCCCCGTCTGTCTCTCAGCTAAGGCCTGAAATTCCTTAAACACGCCAAGTGCTTGATCTTTAGATTTCAAAGGATACACCCAGAGCTTACGAGAATGATCATCAATGAAGGTCACAATGTAAAGTGCACCACTTTTTGACTTTACTTTAAAAGGACCACACAAATCAGAGTGTACTAGCTCCAATAAATCAGGCTTTCTTGAGGGAGGATGGCTATGAAAGGAAACACTTTTCTGTTTGCCAGCTAAACAATGGATACACCTTTTCAGCTTTGCTTGTTTCACTCCATAAAGCAAACTTTTCTTAGCCAAACACGTAATCCCCCTCTCGCTCATATGACTCAATCTTATGTGCCACAATTCTGATAACGTGTCACTTTCCACCAAATTTATGGAGTCATTAAGAACAGAGCCCTGTGTCACATATAAATGACCAGACTTGACTCCTCGAGCCACTACTAACGAGCCCTTGGTGAGCTTCCATTGGCCATTAAAGAGGATATTATGGTAACCTTCATCGTCTAATCTTCCTGCAGATATCAAACTGAAAGGAAAGTCTGGAGCATGCTAGACATCTTGAAGAACTAACTTGGAACATTATTAGTTTTCAAACAAACCGTGCCAACACCAAACACCTTAACTTCACTGCATTGCCCATCTTTAACACTCCAGAATAAACAGGAGTATAAGATGAGAAAAAGTCTTTTCTTGGTGTGACATGTGAGGTAGCTCCAGAATCTACTATCCAACTCGTCTCATGGGATATTAAATTGATGACATTTTCATCATAAGCAAAAAGAAGGTCATCTCGAACAATAACAGCTACATTGTTCTCAATATTTTCAACTTTCTTTTCTTCTCTTATGTCTTGCAACCACTTATGGCAAAACCTTTTGATGTGTCCATTCTTGCCACAGTGGTTGCATGTAATATTATGATATTTGGACCTTGACTTACTTCTACTTTTACCTCTATTCCTCGAGCCTTTTGTTCTATCTCTCCTCGGTCTTCTGTAACCAAGATATCTGCTTGTGAGGACGAACCTTGAGATTTTCTCCTTACTTCCTCGTTCAACACACCAGTCTTGGCATATTCCATGGTCACCTTACCTCCAGGAGCTGAATTTATCAAAGAAATATGAAGAGTTTCCCAAGAGTCTAACAGAGTATTAAAAAGCCAAAGTCCTTGTATCTCATCATCAAAATTAACTCCCATTCCAGAAAGCTGATCAAGGACGCCCTGAAATTCATTTATGTGATCAAGGATAGGGATGCCTTCCTTGTATTTAAAGGTCATCAATTGCTTTAGTAGGAACAACTTGTTGTTCCCACTTTTTGAAGCATAAAGAGTCTCTAGCTTTTCCCACAATGATCTCGCATGTGTCTCGATCACAATATGGTTGCGAACATTATCTTCAACCCATTGTCGTATATATCCACATACTTGTTAGTGCTCGAAATCCCAATCTTTATTAGATATACTCTCGGGTTTATGAGCTGAAAAAATGGGTAGATGCATCTTCTTCACGAACAACAAATCTTTCATCTTGCTTCTCCAAACATTATAATTTCTCCCATTTAAACATACCATCTTTCTCATATTCTCCTCCATTCCGTAACAACCCGGATAAATAACCATGAAGAGGCAAACACAAGTGACACACTAACACTTGTCCTGTAAAGTTCTCCCCCTAAATACGACTCTTAAACCTCATATATCTACATTGTGGATGCTACTAAATGAGAATGAAGGATCCTCAATTTATAGAAGTCCAAACCTTTTCTACAAGAAAGGGACTAGCCAATATGGAGATTTATAATTCCTTCTACAAGAAGGAAACCCAATTNGAAGAAAGAAAGCCCGAATGAAAGAAAGCTAACTTGGAGTGCCAAACCATCTTTGTCTTTTACTAGAATGCATCGTTTGCTATAAAAATAAACTACAATATGACATAAAAAGAAGAGTAATGCTTATATTAAAACACAACAGACTAAATAAGCAAACCCAAACTTTCAAAATATACTACTTTCAAGAAAAAAAGTTTGTGATTTTTGTAGGTGCATTATATATGTTTAATAACTCTACTATCAAGATACTTGCTCAAAAATTGTGTTACTGGTTGGTATTTGCTCCATATAATATACTAAATCATAGCTAAGATTACATGGATTTATAAAAATTAAATAAATAAATAAATAAAAACAATAACTTTATGTTTCTTGACTGCATTAGTTATTTTCACTCATCAATTAAATGCAACTGAAACAATATTAATCTGGTATTTCTAATGTATAGTTAGTTGAAAGAAGCATAAAAGCTCTCTAGTCCCACACTGACTGGACAGGAGAGCTACTATGTAAGGAATGGAATATAAAAGAGCAAGAGCAAAACATAGAAAAGCATACCTTTCTCGGCCTTTTGGCTAAGATCAAGTGTAGTATCTGTTCTTATCAGTTTAATATCTGATATGAAGTCATTGACTCACACGATATTAACTCAATTTTTCAAGGGGGAAGGCCTATCATGATAGCTTGCTATTGGGGCCTTCAAGCGTTGCCTTGATGTTGTACTACTGCCTTGGCCTGGCGCACCCCACCAATTCTAGCCCTAAATTTCTTCTTTTGCTGGAGTTTTATTTTGGTCTTTACGTTTTTTCTTTACTTGTTATGACTCATTAAATCCGACAATTAAGAAGGAAAATTTTTTTTTATATATATATATACACACACACACGCATATTGTGAGGAAATTAGGAACAATGGTTTCGAGATCGATATATGGTATAGAAGACTATGAGATACATATACCTTGAATTAAGAAGTGGCGGATCTAAAATTTGAATTTAATGTCAATTATTTAAAGTTACAGTGGATCTCTTCAAAACTATGTATAGTTTTGTAATCTCATACTTTATAGAATTTTTTATTTTATATATATATATATATATATATATATATATATATATTGAGGCTCCTCGACTTTTTTGCGTGTTGTCTTCTTTTATTTCTCCGTCCGGAGATGTCACATTCACACTTTATATATCTTAGGCTAAAGAAAAATATATAGAGTGACTTGTAACACGTGGATAGGGTCAATACCAGCAAAAAGTAAATAAGTTTATGTCACTTGAAAAGTTCCAAGAATAGAAGCGAAATTGATCATGACATATTGAATACAATACACTCAATAGACTCAAGTCTCAACAGAATCACGTCCTTTGGCAAAAGGCTCTAGCTTACTCAACAAAACATAATAGTAACTTCAATATTTAAATTTTTAAAAGCGTAATTCGACATCCAATTGTGCCTCAGTCTTTGTAGGTATGATGATTTTAAGATAAGGTGCCATCGACGCAAATCCATTGACCCACAAAGAGAGCAAAACAGTCTAAGATTGGATTGATAACTTTAAAGATATCAGTGGCCAAAAGAAACCTTTGGGCAATGCGGAAACATGAGTCTTCATTGTTTACCTTTTTTTTAACTAACTTATTTTATTAATCACCAAGAATCAATTACAAAACCATAGCAAAATTAACACAGCTTGCTATCAGATCACATGACAAAAGGGCAGACTATACTCCCTAGAAACACAGGCTATGCATGAAAGACATGTTTCTAGGTGTTACTCGAACACTACAAACATAGGTAATTTCCTTCGCAATATGCTTCCACACTGTTTTTTGGTTCAAAGGTCCGAAGGTTCCTTTCAATCCATATTTGATGAACTGCTTCTGCATATACAATTTTGAACACCTGTGCCCGTTGGAATTTCCCTCTAGAGTATTTGATTGTCCATTTTGTGAACTGTTGCCAATCCAGTGCTCCCAAGTATTGTAGCCATTGAAATAGCTTGTTCCAGATATTCTTTGTGTATTCACACTGCAAAAAAAATGTTCTCTCGTTTCCTCTTGCATTCTGCGGAGCACACATTGAGTATCTACAACAATCCCCTATTTTCTTAGTCTATCACAGGTCAGCAACCTTCCATGCAGCATTAGCCACATTGTGAATCTTGCTTTTGGTCGTGCTGCATTGTTGAACATTAAGCTCTTCCATTCCACTCGACTATAGTCACCAAGAAAATATATGTAGATTTGTCTAATCAAACTTCTTTTGTGTGGTTGCTCAAAGTGTCTGTTCTTCGGTACTTCTTTAGCCTCCATAACATTCTTCACCATCCAGCAAGCTTGCTGTGGTATTGACATGTTAGTGATTTGCTGCACTTTGATGTAATATGTGTGTATCCATCGAATCCACAGCTTGTCCTGCTTGTGTGCTAAGTCCTAGCAAGTATTGGCTATTGCTGCTTTGTTCCAAAGCTTCAGGTTAGTGAGGTCAAGGCCACCCCCACCTTTGGGTATGCAGACTTTATCCCAAGCACCAATGCTTTCTTTGTAATTTCATTGACCTCCAGCCATATGTAGGACCTACATAATCCTTCAATAAGCTTGATCACTTTTGTAGGTATTACAAACAATTGTGCCCAGAAAACTTGTATGCCAAACAAAACACTCTGCACTAATTGAATCCTCCCAGCATAACACAAAGTCTTAGCAGTCCAAGAAGTAATTTTGGCAGTCATTTTTTCAATGAGAGGAACACTGAGCTTCTTGGTAGATAGTGGTACACCAAGGTATTTGAAGGGCAATTCACCAGCAGAGAGGCCCAAATACTGAAATATTTGTTGTCTATGGTCTAAGGTAACCCCTCCAAAGTTGGCTTCACTCGTACTTAGATTTGCTTGTAGCCTAGAAGCTTGAGTGAATTGGTAGAATTTCTGTTGAATTGCCTATACTGACTTCAGATCCCCTCTAGCAAAAAGCAGCAAAACTAAGGTGTATAATCTCAGCTTGGAACAACGAGGATGGTATTTGAACTCTTTATCCATCTCGAGACTAGCCAGGTTCCTACTCAGATATTCCATTGTTATAGCAACAGGAAGGGTGACATTGGGTCACCTTGCCTTAGTCCCTTGGCAGCATTGAAGGGTACTGTTGGTTCTCCATTAACTATGATTGAGTAATTGACTGTTTGTATGGACTCCATACCCAAGAGGTGAATGACTGAGAAAATCCCAATTTTTCCATAACTTGCCTTAAATATGGCCATTCCACAGAGTCATAAGCTTTTTGCAAGTCAATCTTGATCATATATCAAGGAGAGATGTTCTTTCTCGAATAGGCCTTCACCAACTCATGTGCTAAAATTATATTATCACCAATCCTCCTCTAGGTATAAACCCTGCTTGAGCTTCATTGATAACTGTGTTAATGACTCCTTATATTCTTGATGCAAGGATCTTGGAACCAGTTTGTATAGCACAGTGCAACAGCAAAGTGGTCGTAATCCCTTAATAGTTTTTGGCTTGTTAGTCTTAGGAACCAGTGTAATAGCAGTGCAATTGATAGCTTTGTGTAGTTTCCCAGTAGCAAAGAAATCCAGGATAGCTTTAATAATCTCATCCTTGATAACTGGCCAAGCCTTCTTGTAAAAGCATGCATTATACCCATCAACACTAGGGGCCTTATCTTATCCAATGGAGCATAACCCTTCATAGATCTCTTCTTCAGTCACCAATGGAGCATAGCCCTTCATAGATCTCTTCTTCATAATCTCATCCTTGCTGCTGCGTAAGGTTTAGTCCTTTTTGCATCACCAATTTATCTATAGCAAGAAGTGAATATGCAACAGACACCATCAATGACTTGTAGAAAGCCACAATCTCCTCTTTGATGGCTTCAGAATCATTTAGCATATTTCCAGCAATAGAAGTAAGTTCCAGAATTTGCTTTCTCTGATTCCTTTCTTTCATAACAGCTGTAAATTACTTTGTATTAGAATCTCCTAGTTTTATCCATCTTGCTTTTGCTTTTAGTTTCAAGGCTCCTTCTTCTATCAAGTCACACTTCTCCAGGTTTTGTATTAGTCCCTTCTCTTCTAATAGTAGCTCATCAGAGCAATTAGTTGTTATGCTCCTTTGGACCCTATCAGGATCAATTTTGGCTTTCTCAATTTTCATTCTTATGAATTTGAACTCTTCAACATTTAGTTTCCTAAGCACCGGCCTAAGTGTTTTCAGTTTCATCCAGATATTCTGCATATTCTTACTGTGTTATCTCTGTTGCCATACTTGTTGAACAATGCTTAAGAAGCTCTCATGCTCGGCCCACACGTTGAATAATTTAAAAGGAGTTTTCCTATTTCCTTGGCTAACAGTTAAACTTAGGCTCATAGGAGCATGGTTAGAGATGAAAGGCACATCATATATAGTAGCTACATATCCCCATTGCATCATCCACTCATAATTGCCAAACATTCTATCAATTCTGCTCCATATTCTGTCACTCCCAGCTTGCTTATTAGATCACGTGTAATATTCAACCCTCCCATGCCAATTCACTAAGTCTCAAGTCTTGGACACACTTATTGAAGTCTTGGATTTCAAACATGCTGATTGGATTTCTATGCGTTTTATCTTGTAGCTGTAGTACAGAGTTAAAATCTCCTCCAATTACCCATGGTGTGGAGATCTTTTTCCTTATCTCTGTTAAACTTTCCCATAATGGCTTCCTTCTCTCTATAGAATTGAAACCATAGACTACTGACAATATACAATTTTGGTCCCCCATAATACCTTTAACAAAGCAATGTATAACTTGTGATTCTACTTTTAGTAAAGTAACCGAGTAGTAGTTTGAATCCCATATCGCCCGAATTCTTCCATTCACTGCATCATTATAGTTAGTAAGTGTAACGACCCGATTGGTCATTTTGAGCAATTGCGTCCGGTTCGGCAGTTTGAGGTCACGAGTAGCTTTACATAGTGTATTATGACTTGAGTGCATCATCAGATCAGGTTTTTGAGAACTTTGGAAAGGATTTTAGGAGTGACTCTCATTTGAGAAGCTCGAAATTTAAAGTATTGACCGACTTTTGAGTATTTGACCTCGGATTGGAGTTTCGATGGTTCTGATAGGCTTGGCTGGTGATTTTAGACTTAGTCGTGCTTCCGAATTTGGATTTGGAGGTCCGTAGGGTAATTTGAAGCATTTTGGCGAAAGTTGGAAAGTTGAAGTTTTGGAGGATTGAGAGGTTTGACCGATAGTTGACTTTGATGATATCGGGTTCGGAATGCGATTTTGAGAGTTGACAGCTCGGTTATTTCATTTAGGACTTGCCTGCAAAATTTGGTGTCATTTGGAGTTGATTTGAAATAGTTCGGATGCTTGGTTGCGATTCTAGAAGTTCTTGAAATTCATGGTGATTTTCATGTGTTTTGGCATCTGATTCGTGATTCTAGAGGTTATTTTGGTGTTTCGACGAGCGAGTTCGTATTATGTTTTCAAACTTGTGTGGATGTTTGTTTTGGAGTCCCGAGGGCTTGGATGAGTTTCGTACGCGTTTCGGAGTGTTTGGAAAAAGGTTTAGAACTGCTGCTGTCTGATCTCGTATTTGCGAGTTGAGGGTCGCATTTGCGACCACCGCTTTTGAGGACTTGGAATATCATTTACGAAGAGGTTGGGGACTGGCAGGCTTCGCATTTGCGGAGCTAGCCTTGCAAATTCGATGGTGAACTGGGCAGTGGAAGTTCGCTTTTGCGAACGTTTAGTCTTTCGCGTTTGCGATCCGTTTCATTTCATTTGCGATAGAGAAAGGGCTGGAACTTTTTGCTTTTGCGAAGTAATGGCCGTTTTTTCGGGGCTCGCATTTGCGAACCCCATGTCGGAAATGCGACATCTTCAGCCTTTTAATAGCTGGGCATTCCGAATTTTAGCTTCATTTTATCATATTTTGAACCCTAGGTCCGAGAGTGGGCGATTATGAGAGAGGATTTTCATATCAAATCATTGGGTAAGTACCTCTAATCAATTTTCAATTATATTTTTTGATTATATCTTATATTTAACATCAAATTCATGAGACTCTAAAGGAAAATTTGGAGAAAATTGTAAAATCTATCAAAAATGTAAATGATGATTTGAAGGACAAATTGGTATCGGAACTTGATAATTTTTGTATGGTTGAACTCGTATTGAAATGGGTGTTCGTGTTTTGTTAATTTTATCAGGTTCTGAGGTGCAGGCCCGAGAAGTTGACATTTGTTGACTTTTTGCAAATAGTATAAGGATCATAGCTTTGTTAATTAAAATTATTTTCTCTTGCATTGTTTGATGTATTTAAGTCGTCTTTGGCTAGATTGAGTTGAGCGTCGGTGAATTGATAAAGGAAAATCTAAAGTGAGTATTGAGTTGGCCGAATTAAAGTAAGTATATTGTCTAACTTTGTGTAGGGGAATTCACTCCTTAGGAATTGAGTAAATTGTGCTATCTTGATATGTGAAAGACATGTACGCAAGGTGACGAGTGGGCACACGGTCTACATAAGGTATTGACCGGTTAGATTGTCTAGTTTCTTTCCATGCCTTTGATTAAATTGTCATAACATGTGGTATCTCGTTGTTAGGCTACTCTTACATGCTCTATATGATGTTGTCAGCACTTATTAACCTCTTATGACTCTGTGCATATATGCTACATGTCCAAATTGTTGCGATTGCATGCTTAGTATCACGTGCCTTACATGTCTTGTTATTTTTGTAAGGGTTGTTGTATTCCTTGGATTTTTACGTGGTTCCATTGTTGCCGTGTACTCATACTCTTGGTTGTACGAATTATTGTAAATTGAGTTATTGAATTATTTTTGTTGATTTAAATTATCTTACGGGGGATCGGGTTGCACGCCGCAACAAGTGAAATAAGGGAGGTGGTGGAATAAGGGAGGATATTTATATTCCGATAATGTTATTGTACGGTGGGATCGGGTTGCACGCTGCAACATGTGAAATAAGGGTGAATTATTATGGTGAAATAAGGGTGGATTATGATATTAATATTATATGGTGGGATCAGGTTGCGCGCCGCAACATATTATGTTTATTGTTATGATATTGTTGTTGTACAGTGGGATCGGGTTGCACGCTGCAACAGGTAGAATAAGGGTGAATTGATATGGTGGAACAAGGGTGAATCATGATATTGATATTATGTGGTGGGATCGGGTTGCACGCCGCAGCGTATTTGTGTGTTTTGTATCCCTAGTTTTTGTCACGACCCGAGATCCCCACCACTGGGACCGTGATGGCGCCTAACATTACATTTGCTAGGCAAGCCAACGTTAGAGATTCATTAGCCAATCCTTTTACATTTCAGCGATTAACAATAAGCAAGCTATAACAAGTCAAAATGACCGCAGAAGTAAATAAATAAGAACTCTGATTATGTGCTATTACTACCCAGAATCCGAAATCACAATTCACGAACATTCTAAGATTTTTACTACAAGTATTTGTCTGAAAGAAAATATAATTGTTTGCAAAATGAAGAAAACAGTAATGTTTGGGGTATAGAAGGGGACGCCAGGGCCTGCGGACACCGACAGGTCTACTTGGGTTTTCTATGGAATGAAGTCAGCAACTCGTCTCAAGATCAGCTGGGACCGGCACAAAAATTTGCACAGGAAGTGCAGAGTGTAGTATCAGTACAATCGACCCCATGTACTGGCAAGTGTCGAGCCTAACCTCGGCGAAGTAGTGACGAGGATGAGACAAGACACCCATTAACAACATGTGCAGTATAATGATACATATACCAATAACAGCAGTAAAGGAAGAACCAGACAAGCAATATTGGGAGGGGGACATGCTGAGGGGGTCATAAGGTAAAGAAACAAGCAGTGATAAAAACTTGATCAATCAATATGCCTTAAACAGATTGAATCGGTAAAAATGGTAAAGGAAACTGCAGGGCATCACCCTTCGTGATTTTACTCTCGATCTCACCATATGAAACAATAGAAACGGCACGGCATCACCCTTCGTGCATTAACTCTCATAATATGTCACGGCATCACCCTTCGTGCATTATC